ACCAGCCCTTCTGGCACCAACAATCATGCCACGTTCAAAGTCACTCAAATCACCTTTCTTCCCCATACTGATGCTCGCTTTGAACTGCAGGAGATTGTCTTGACCATGTCTACATGCCTAAATGCACTGAGTTGCTGCCATGTGATTGGCTGCTTAGAAGTTAACTGTTAACGAGCAGTTGGACAGGTGTACCTAATAAAGTGGCCGGTGAGTGTAGTGGTTAGTGTATAGTGCCTATTTAGAGCCCTATATAGTGGTTAGGGCGGATATTCGGACACAGCCATTGTCTTCTGGTGGATCTGCAATTTCTAGGTCTATTTGTTTAGTGATGTTTTCATTTTATTTTTATTTAATTTTATTTAGATTAGCTTTTTTAAAGTTTATTTTTCATTTAACTCTGATCTCATTGAAATGTCAATTTTTTTCTTGTTTTTTTGCTCTTCCGTTGAATGTCAGTCCCTCATTGGAAACATTTTCATTTGTTATCTTTTAATTTTCATAAAGGAAATTAGATAATTCTTTCTAAATCCTAAAAATGTTCTTTCCATCATCAGTTATAATTAAAAATGAATAAGCTGATTTGTTTCTATCATAGAATCATATATTGACCTCCCTTATTTATTCATATATATATATACTCCCTTATTTATTCATATATATATATATATATATATATATATATATATATATATATATATATATATATATATATATATATATATATTATATATATATATATATATAATATTTATAATATATATACATGTGTTTATCTCTGTGTGTGGTTGTGTGGGCTTTGAACCAAAGGCATGACAAGATTTTAGCTCTGATAACTTTCCGTCTTGATGAATCTGGACAGATACCTTCATGCAGCTCGTTGTTTTAAAATGTGCTGCAACGTTCGATAAATTAGCAGAAACATCCTGTGTGCATCTGCGGCGCATTAGAGGGAATCTGCCATATGTCAGTAATGTGCTGCAGCCTGTGGCATGAAGAACATTTCCCTTTCACAGGAAGGAATGGCTTTCATTAAATATTTTAGGGTTGCCGTACTCAGAAACTAAAGACACCCCCGACCTTTGGTTTGACCCTTTCTACTGTTAACCTTTAAAGTCTTCCAGGTTAACTTTTTGGATTGCTCTATGTTTTGCTGTGGACTGGTCACCATAACCTGAACATTTTAAATCAAGGAGAATTTGCAGATTCTTAGTGCATTGTTTAGATTTCTCTTCCCTTTACCTCTAACTTGTCTTGTCGGCTGAATTTTCCCAGGATTCCCAGGTGCGGCAGAGCACGACGTACAGCCTGCACCAGCCGCAGGGCAACAAGGAGCACGGCACTGAGCGGAGTGGCTTCCTGTTCAAGAAAAGTGACGGGTGAGCGTCTCCACTGGGCCTCAGGGGTCAGATCCAGGGGAATAGTTGAACACGGTTCAGTTTCCCTCAACAAGGAATAATCAGTTGGTTCGCAGTGATTTGATACATTTAGCGTTAATCAGTAAAAAAATAAAAACAATAATTTTCGATGCGATCACTGAGTCCGGGAGCGGCCATTTTTGCCCAAATATAGTAGCCCCTCCCTCCTGCCATCTTCCAGCAGTGACGTCACGGTGCGGTAAGCCTAGCGCCATTCTCCCCGCTTTACAAGCTAAATCAATGGGAACTACTAGACACATCTGCAATCAACAACAATTATTGAAGATTTCCAGAGGACTTCACCATTGAAATTCACCAGCGCTATAGTGAAACTAACAATGCCCACGTGCATGGCAGCTGGATGTTGGAATACATCGGGTAAAAGTGAAAATAAAGAGTTATTCCACCTTTCTGATTCCTGATCCTCCACGGACGGGTTGGTCGTTGGATCGCCAACTTGAAGAGGGAGGATTTGCCATCGAACTTCTGGCCAGAGAAAAAACCCGTAATATGTAGCCAACATTTGGAAGAAGAATGTTTTCAAGATGACTTGGATAATAGCGCGTTGTGACAAACACCAGATACAGCACTGGGACTTGATCAACAGCCGATACCGTACCGTGACGTCACTAACCAGTAGGTGGCAGTAGTGTTCTTTGACAAACATGGATGCCTCCAGTAAAGCACTTTCACATTAAAATTACTCTGAATTAAAAATACTTATCATTTATTGAACAGTATGTAATAATTTCATATTTAAAGTACATTCAAAGGGTTGAATTCTGACTTTGACCGCACTTCTCCTTTAAAAGTTGCTGTTCTCATAGCTCATACAAGTTTACTATGCCTGAATGTCCGCCATAACCCCTAAAATTCCTCAATCACAATATATAGGGTGCCTAGATTTGACTGTGTGACGCCAGCGCCATCTTTATTAGTTTGTATGTCAGGTAGCGACAGCTTATGACAACAGCAGGCCGCTGTAACAGCAAATCCCATAATGCTTTGCGAGGAGAGCTCTCCCCGCGCAAGGCATTATGGGTTAAATCTGCCTCTTCTGAGGCCTTTCTCTTTTTCTCATACACTTCAAAGACACTTTTTGTTTTACGGCCCTCTGCCATTTTTCAAAGAACCGCAGTGAGAAAGGTGAGCTTTAATGACTGTCTGAAACCGTAGCTCACCACAGCCTGAAAGTGCAAATGCACAGAAAAAGATAGCTAACGGTACCAGCATGTAGGACAGCCTTACGTAAACATATCACCAGAATGATTGACAGTTAGGAGGACCACTTATTAAGATGCTCTACCTCGGAAATAAAAGATTGTCCTCTATATCTTTAATATCACATCAATAACAAAAAAATAAGCTTTATTCATAGTGGCATGCAGAATTATTTCTAGTGTTTTTTGGTTGGAATTGATGATTACAGCAGTTTCAGCAGGTAGGACCAAATATGAAGCGTTTTAAGAAAACATTCTTGGTGTAGTTGGTGCTGAAGTCTAGTTAAAAAACCCCATTATAATCCACTTTCAGGTCATTTAGATGGTGATTGTGAGCTTTTTGTCTTCTTTGTGCAGGTTGAGAAAAGTCTGGCAGAAGAGAAAATGCACGGCTAAAAACGGATACCTTACCATCTCACACGGCACCGTAAGTTTGATAGCGGGTAGATCCCAGCATCTCTAAACAGACTAAATAATGTAAATAATAATAATAAATGTGCAGTAGTGAACAGCAGAGAGCCAATGGTGGAGTCCTTTCTCACCAAACTCCCTCCTAGTTAAGATTCAACACAGGCTTCTGACTCCAAGCAGCTTATCAGATGTTTCCTTTGGCTCGGGCCGCAGCAGCAGTCAAATACCATCAAACACAACATTCCTGCTCCGCTCACTCAGCTTGTTTTTCATTGTGACTGTTGTCTCTACTAGGCGAACAGACCGCCAGCTAAACTCAACCTGCTGACCTGCCAGGTGAAACACAATCCGGAGGAGAAGAGAAGCTTCGACCTCATTTCACGTAGGTGTAATATCTTTCGTTGGGCAGCGGATCTCTCTCTCTCTCTGTGTGTCCATAGCTGTTATCAGCATTTTTCCCACAGACTTTGGTCTCTTTAGTGACAACAGCGTCAAAGGTTCCGGCTTAGCAGGCCGCAACCACATGATGGCAGACTAAAGCAGATTAAAGCATAATAGCTTAAACTAATTCATTCTTGGAGTTTTTAAAAACACTATATTTTTGCAGGTTTCCTCTGTCCAGCAAAATATTTGATCACATTACACCTATGAACCCCCTAGATATTTTAATTAAGTTTATCTGTTGTAAAAAAATCTGTAAAAATAGCCCGTTTCTATTTAAGCCATTAGGGTTGCAGCTTTTATTTACTGATGCTGCGACTTTATTCTTGCAATATTACTATAATATTCTAGAGTTAATATAATGACTTTTTATTAAATCATGACTTTTTTCTAGTAATGTAATGACTTTTATCTTTTAGACCTAACGTTAGGACTTTTGTCGTAATAAATTTTCTAATGCTTTGCATATTTTAGATGCATTTTATATAATTAAGGGAATTTATTATTCGCTTATTAGTATTATTATCATTATAAGTATTTAAGGGGCTAAAATACTAATTTAATTGGCAAATGTTATTATTATTATTTATTTATTTGCCTGTTAAATGAAAGGCAGATAATTTTTCTAAGAAAACTGTTCGTACTTTAGTTCAATTTTTGCAGCATACAAGACCTAAACCATCTCATAGTATCTCTGTGGAGATGTTTACCTGTTGGAAGATGAACCTCAACCATACTCCGGCGCCGCACAATGGCGGCCCACTGCTCCCCAAGGGGATGGAATAAATTCAGAGAGTTCATTTCTTTGCTCTGTCTTTGTGACAGTGTAATTACAATAAAACACATACTCTTTTCCTGTAGCCTTTATTGAATTTTCATCCAGAATTGTCTTGGATTTTGCTCTGTAAGTGTCCCACAGCATGATGCTGCCTCCATCCTGTGTTACCCTGGGGTTGGTGCATTAATGGTAACGTTTAGAATGAGCTTCAATATTTTGGCCCGGAAATATCAAAGCAGCACGTGCATTTACATGAGATCAAATTACAGCATCAATCTGTTTACTAAATTTGGAGAAGAATTTTATTTAGGTTGTCAGAATAAAGGGGTTGACTTTGCCTCTCCCTCACAAATATGTATCCTTTTTTGTTTAACTATGACTCGATTAAATCATAAAATGTTCAACCCTAGTTGTAATGGGTAATGAAGGAATGGAAGGGGTGTGAAGACTTATGTATTAACATGTATGTTAAACTACATAATCTAAACTAAGACTGTTTTATGAACCTCTTTCTGTTTTCCTTTTAGATGACCGAACATATCATTTTCAAGCCGAGGACGACCAGGACTGTCAGATGTACGTTTCTGCTTCCTCCATTCTTCCTGTTTTTCCCTCCAAACACTTTCTTCCTCTTGTAGATCTTTACCTCCTCACCCATCCTTTTCCTCCCTCCCCTCTGTTGGTTCTTCCTTCCATTTATCTCATGTCTCCTTTTTTTATGTCCTCCCTCCCCTCCACTCCCAGCTGGATCTCAGTTCTGCAGAACAGTAAAGAGGAGGCTCTGAATCAGGCGTTTAAGGGGGACCACCATGTTGGCGAAAACAACATCGTACAGGAGCTGACAAAGGCCATCCTGGGGGAGGTGAAAAGGATGACGGGAAACGACGTGTGCTGCGACTGCGGAGCCCCCAGTGAGTGGAAACGCTGCCGTCATGGCGGTTCTGCAGCTCAAAAACCACATTTTCATCATGAAACTGTGAGGAGATTTTGTGACACTCGGTTGAGACACTCGGGTCCGAACATTTCAGTCATATGATGGCACATTTCAGATTTATTTTTAACAGTAATAAGCATTAATTCAATATTTATGAATAAGCCATTAAACCAAAGAATCTAATGAAGAATAAATCAGAACCTCACATTAATAATAAAATTTAAATCTCATATTTCATTTGGCGTTCCTGGATGTTGAAAGGAGGGGGAACTCCATTGCCAGATCCACAGCTTTGAGCCTGAGGCCTTCAGGGAGACAGTTTTATCCGCTATAAGATCTGGTAAATCGTTAAAGTAATGAGGTTGGATGATGTGTAAAAGATTTTCCAACCAATATTTATCAGTCCATCTAATGGCGATTGACGATATATTTGTGCAAGGGACTTTGTGGGCAAAGACAAGCACCCCTCAGAGCGCTTCTGCTGCACCACAGGTAAAGCTGTTAACCACCTTCACACACTAACAGCCAATAAGATCAACATGGTTGTTTCTTTGTGAAAAATGTAGAATTCTTGTACAGTGGGAAAAGTTTCCTCATTTCCAGTTGCTCTGACTACGTTATGAGACATCATTGTTTATTTATTGTTATTCATTAGTTTATCTGAATGCTCAAAATCAAACGGACTGAAAACTGGGGCGGATTATTTTTTATTTTTTATGGAGATCGCAAAGCTTCACTGAAGGAGAGAATTTTCCTTTTTTAATTTATTGTTCTTTAATTTTGCATTTGTTGGGGAGGCCAGTAAACACACAAACAAAAAATGCTGTTCTGGTTCTGCTGCTGCACGGTGGCACTGGGGGAGTTAATGTAGACCATTAAAAACAGCATTAGGTTTTCTGTTTTGTTGTTGTTTTTTTTTTGTTTGTTTTTTGTCGTAGGCTTCGTTTTAACCCGTAGGTCCAACAAAAGAAACAAAAACGTCGCTGTTTAAAAAGAGAATGTTGAGTCTATCGTCGATGGTCAATAGCAGGGGTAGAAACAATAATAAATGAGCGGGGTCCGAATAAAAAAGGTCCAGAGACATTTTTAATTATATGTTACTTTAAACAAAATTTAACAGTGAAATAAAATGAGGTGTTTTTGCATCCATGTTATGCATTGGCTTTTTAAATACAACAATATAAAAAAAATTGAAGTTTTTTTTACTTTTTTTTTAATCTAAACTGTTTTTTTAAATAGAGAACAACAATCGTTCAGTTTGGTATATAGCCAATTTCCTAATTATTGTATTTTATAAAACCCCTGAACTGAGCGTTTTTTCATCCTTTTTTCTGTCTTAATGTTGGCAGTGGGCTTTAGGCTGCCCTGCAAGGCTTTAAACCTGGGTTTGAATGGAGACTAAGCCATTCTCAAGCACATATCAAGGTGCTCATTCTGAGCCTGGATCCAAAAACCAAAGATTTATCTGCATAGAGATGCATGTATAATTGTCTGAGGTTGTTTACACTATTTGTAGAGATTGTAAAAAAAAAGGTTAGAGAATTAAACCTTATGGAAACCCCACATAAAATAATTAGCAAACCACTCAGCTGTTTTCTAATATTCTGTTTAAGATGTCCAATCAAAGCTTAAACAAGCAGAACTAAAGGCTTTGGAGATAAATTGGAGATGATTATAATTTCAGAGTAGTGGCTGTTTCTATGGTGTTTGTCTTCAGGTAAAAAAAAAAAAATAATAATGAGAAATAATGTCTATTTTATATCATTGTTACTTTTGTTCCTCAGGTCCAACATGGCTGTCCACCAACCTGGGCATCCTCACCTGCATTGAATGTTCAGGCATCCACAGGGAGCTCGGGGTCCACTACTCGCGGATCCAGTCCCTCACCCTGGATGTACTCAGCACCTCAGAGCTCTTGGTACAAATATTTTCCTTTTCTAATTTTCAATTTTCCTTCTCCTGGAAGTGATGTGGTAAGATGCTGCAGCGTCCTCCGGCTCACGTTTCCTTTCGCAAAATTCAGAATTTGTTTGTTGTTTTTTTGGGGCTTTTTTAAATCCTGGTTTGGTGCAAAGATTTACAGCCTGCGGGACATCTGGGATTAAACGCTTCCAGTCATGATTGCTTTAGACGCCACAGTCAGACACGGCTTGCTCCTCTCTCACAGCTCAGGACAGGGGTGTGAGAGCTGCACGGATGCACTTGGTTCATGCAGCTTTTAAATTTACTCTCTCTGTGTTTGTTTCCTCCGCAGCTGGCCAAGAACGTGGGGAATGCAGGTTTTAATGAAATCATGGAAGCTTGTTTAAATGCTGAGAACGTTGTGAAACCAAACCCAGCGAGTGACATGTAAGTTCTGGCTCTTTGGACGCGAAATACTCACTACTGTTCTGGTTTCCCTGCCCACCGTTTTCTGCTTTAAGTTGATGCTATCGTACACTTTTCTTTTGAATTAGATTTTTTATGACTTCTGCTACAGGTTTGCTCAATTTTCTAACATCAAGGGGTTTATTTTCTGCCTTTAAGGTAAAATAAAACCCACAACACTGCCTCTGTGTCTATAAAAACAAACGCTGTGAAGCAGGGAGGAAGTTCTCTTTGATGTTTTGTAAAAGTCATGCAGGCAGAGCTAACATGAGATCTGGACCAAATGAGCATCGAGAAACTTTAACACATCTCCACAGTGAAACAGGGTGGTGGCACCATCATTCTGTGGGATTCCATTCTTCACCCCATCTTTCATATTTACAAGTGAAAATAACAAAAATCTTCTTACTCTACTTTATGTTGCTCCAATGAAAGAAATCGAAGTTTGTTGATTTTAAAAGTCAAAGCTAAATAAAAGTTTAAATTTAAATTAAATTGTTTGTTCTCCAAATATAAATGATTGAAAGAACTTCTAGAGCAGGAGCACATGTGGCCCTTTGGTTCTTATGAAGGTCGATAAGAAATGATTTTATTCCTAAGGTAATGGGTTCTATGCACAACTCTACTGCTTCCTGAATTTAATGCAGCTATTTGTTTCCTGTCTCTTTCCACTGTATGAACTGATTAATCCAGGTGTGTCAGGCCACGGTTACTGAGGTCAAGCACACCTGGATTAATCGCTTCATCCAGTAGAAAAAGACAGGAAACAGTACCGGAGTTCTCCATAGAGCCCATGAAAAAGGTTTCTTCTGCACAGAACATCTGCAACAGCATGGAACCAGAGGTTAAAGGCTTTTAATTTAAGACTTTTTAGCTTCAGCTTAATGTGCTTTATATTTTTATAGGTTTGTGACTCTCGTAGTTTGCTTCTTGGTGCAAACTTTTTTCCAAAAACAAATAATTATTTTTCTTTCAAATCCCTTCCAAAAATCTTGGTTTAATAAGTATTAATTCAAAAAATATATATATTTTTTTATATATTTTATTGACAAAAGTTGCTATTTGTATTAAAAAGGTAGCAGACCCTCTAGTGATCCAGCAATGATGGTTTTGCTCCTTCCTTTAACATAGAGTGATTCTCATGGGGACCGTTAATAAATATCTGAACCAAACACTCTTGATAAACACTAAATAACTTTAATCTCTTGTGACCCCTTCACACAAAATCAATGCCTGACAGACGACGCATACCCCTTATTGTCCAGTTTTGAAGCATTTACTATTTTCTTTGATTTCTGTCATTTAAAAATTAGTGTCCCTGCTCCCAATGCAGGGCTCGATGTTAACCATCGCCCAATCGCCTGAGGCAAGTAGTTTTAATTGTCGGGAGAGTACAAATATCATTGCATTTGCCCGGGCAATTGCAATGATCACAAAAAAAAATATTTATCACTCAAAATTACTTTAAAATCACCGACATTCGATGAAAACGACCCACAAGCGTTGCAGACGCCATCTTTGTTGTTTTGTACACATTCTCGCGTGATTTGAAAAAGCTGCATGATTTTCCGCTAGATGGCGTGATTTTTCTCTCCTTGGGGAGAGAATGCTGCAGAGCAGCACCTGGATGATGAATTTAATCTACACTGTAATACATGCTAGATTAAAAATGATCAGTCAGTGATTAGGAAAATAATAATTGTAACTGTATGTGTAAATATTTCTATCATATGGCATTATTCTGTACAGTGATGCAGGTCATACATTAAAAAATCTTCATTAAATTTTTTTCTCTTAGACATTGGAGTGGTGCATTTAAATGTTATAGAGCTAAACATGTTAAATTGGTGAGTAGTAGTAGTGTAAGTTTTTAACCTGTCAAGTTTTTTTTTTATTTTTAACATTACAATTTATATTTTTCCAAGCACACAACAGTTTAAAGCAAAGTTTAGTTTAAAAAGAATGTGCAGGAAGGATTGAAAAGCATGTTAACACGGTAATGTAGGCTTGAGTTCATTATCTGACGCATGCAGATACACACCACACACCAGGAACCTGGAAACTTACTGAATTACAAAAAACATTTAAAAAACAAACATGTTTCATTGATATATATACAAACATGAATATTAGGAACTATATTTATCAAACATTATACTGGGCAAGTAAAAATAGTTTCTGGGCAAATGAAATGTGAAAGTTGGGTTAGTGGTAAAATTCCTTAATGTCAACCCCTGCAATAGCTTTCAGGTCATGTGACTGACTGACACAAAACTAATGTAAAGTCACCATACTATATCAGACAGATGATCCAGACTCATTTTTATTTCTTAATGCATTCACTATTTTTTATAATGTGGAAAATCATGATTTATTCAGATGTTTCCTCAAAAGAAACTCATTTTATTTACGGTATTGTCAGTCCCCAAGCGGACCTCAGCAGAGAGCAGCTGCTTAGAGAGGAGCTGCTGATGTCACTTTTCTGAAATGCATCATATTCATGGCAAAATTAAGATGCAGTAACCCCTTTTGAACCTGAGGAGGGCGCCACACAGGTGGGTTTAGACACAAAAGCAGAATCTCAATAAGTGTGCAGTAAAACGTGTGGAACATGTGAGTAGTAGTATTTTTTAACTGGTAAGTTGAACATTTGGTTTTGTTGGGTTAGTATTAGCATTAGCGGACCTGGCAGACTGTACAGAACCAGCGTGGGTTAGACTTAGACTTAGACAGTACTTAATTGATCCCTTGGGAAGACTCCCTCTGGAAATTAAGGTTACCAGCAGCTTACAGGGCAAAAAAGTATTAAGTTAAATTAAGTTAAAATTAAGCAACAAAAAAGTATTAGGTTAAATTAAATTAAAATTAAGCAAAATACAAATAAATATGGAGTTCACATTTTACAGAAAAAATAAAAAATACAAGTGCTACTCCTTCCCCCTGTCCTGTGTCGCCTCCTCGCCCCCAGTGAAGCGTTGTAAAGTCTGATGGCGTGGAGTTAGCGTGCCACTTGCAGCTATCACCATTAATCTTACAAAACATAAAAAAAAAAAAAAAATATATATATATATATATATATATATATATATATATATATATATATATATACACACACACAAAAGCACTGGATGTCATTTTCAAAGTTGTCTGCCTTGTTTCCTCACCAGGCAAACCAGGAAAGACTTCATCACGTCCAAATACATCGAGAAACGGTTCGCCAGGAGGAAGTGTCCCGACACGGCGTCGAGGCTCCACACGCTGTGCGAGGCGGTGAAGGCTCGAGACATCTTCTCACTCATCCAGGTCTACGCCGAGGGGGTGGACCTGATGGAGCCCATTCCGCTCGCCAATGGACATGTAAGAAACCTGCAGTTTTTTTCCGTCTCCTCTGCTTCTCATGGCTCCTCTTCCTTTTTTTTTAAAGCGATGGTTTCTCCTCTGCAGGAACAAGGAGAGACGGCCCTTCATCTGGCTGTCAGGCTGGTTGACAGAACCTCTCTTCACATCGTCGACTTTCTCACCCAGAACAGGTAGAGAGGGAGCGGAGACGACACAGGAGGCCTTCACAAACAGTTTATATTTAGAAGCTGTGATTGTTCCCCTAAAATAAAAAAAAACAACAAAATTCAAACCACGCCTCTTTAAAAAAAGGCAATGTTTCTTTTTTACTACATACTACAGTTTTGCAGGGAGATTTAATCCTTCCCATAACTGTTAGCTTACTGCTGTTGATTTATATTGTTTGATAGAAAAACGTTTAAGTTTTTAACATTAAATAAAGGTTAGTGTAATTTACTTAGATATTTTTTTGCTGTCTAAAGATAGCAAAGCAGTGCATTAATGTTGGTTTTAATAGATGTAAATCTGAAAAGTGTGGTGTGTATTTATTTTTAGAGCAGATCATGTGTCGCAGCTTTTTACATCTAGAAACTTAAAACTTTGCTCGTTTTTATTCGCAAAAAAAGTCCAAGGTCAGTAATATTTTATGGAGAACTGTGGATATTAACATTTATATCTTGAGAGAGTTTCTCAATTATATTGTGTGGTGCGCAGGGAGCACTGTGGGGTTAAGGGTCTTGCTCAGGGAGCCAGTGTGCACGCTGTGGGGATCAAACCTGGTACTTGCAACCTTCTCAGAGTACAAGCGCTCTGCTGTAACCCACTAGGCCAACATTCTCCATTTACTGTGGTTCTGCTGCAACATGAACCTCAACCTCAGTCTGATCTTTTTTAGCAGGTTTTCTTCAGGACTCTCCTGTAAAAAGTCTGTCTTATTTTAGTAGAATATGTTCCTTAACATTTTGCAGAAAAGAAATCATATTTTTCTTTAGCAGCTTGTCCATAGGGGCCGATTTGTTGCCCTGTCTACTTAGCATCTTCTCCAGAGTTACTATGGTCCTCCTCCTCTGGTTAAGGCTCTCCTCATCCGTCCAGGTGGACTCCCATATCTGCAGGTGGAGCAGAGCCCTGAGAGTAGGGTTTTCACGATACTAAACTTTTCAACTCGATACCGATACTAAGGAAAATATCCGATACTCGATACCATTTTCGATATCACGAGGATAAAAACAAAGACTCCAAAATTCTACAGAAATATTATCATTAATAAATAAAATAGAATAAATAAATACAATAAAGGTTGTATGCTGTGCACAATATTAAGCAAGCTTGATAAAAAACTTAAAATTAAAATTAAGTGTTCCTTCCTTGGCCATGCTTTGCACACATAACAATGACACTAGCCAAACCGGTTAAGAAACAAAGATAATTCTCAGCAGCTGCACCTGTTACAAAAAAAAAGTCTGAAACTGAAAAGTGCGTAGAATTATTCAATCACACAGTGTTCTGAAAGTGCATTGTCCTCTATTCTGCACTTTAGATGAATGACTGCTTAGGTGCCACTGGTGGTGGCACTATATTGATACTTTTAAAAACGAGTATTGTATCCGGATACAACGTTTCAGTGTCAATACTTTTTGAGTATCAATACTTTTGACAACCCTATCTGAGAGTTTTAAATTTTAAGATGTTTTTGTAGAACCCTGACTTTGAACTGGACCAGAACTCCCCTCCTTGACCCTCAGCTACATTTAAACTGAGATTAAACAACTGGATTTTCTTTAGGGAATCAGAATAAAGGGGGGTCAATATAATGTCAATATACTTTAAGGTTTTTATGAAAGGAATAGTACACCCAAAA